GTTTGAAAAAAAAATGACAGTTCAAGGTCACCAGAGACGGGAGGCTGCCACATACTGCAGATAATCTACCTTCACCCACGGGTAACTAAGGCAGCGAAATGAGTAATGAGACAATTCTGCACATACAAGCATCCGTTTCAGAGAGCAGAAGTCCCGCTTAAGTCTCCTGGAGAAAGACGATGTAGGTCATAGAGCTTCTTTCCAGACAAAAGAAAAGTCTCTCTCACAATTAAATGTTGAGGTGACACTGTACGTTTCAAAAGGAATATTCAGTAAACCAACTTTGAGACTCATTAGGTGTGAAAGATGAATATTTGGTCAGAGAATCTTCCCACATTTTTACACAACGCCAACGTTTTGCCTCCAAAACTATCTTCAGAAACTGTTTTCACTTTTTGATGAAGGCAGAAAAGAGTGTGGCTTGTTATTAAACCTTTGAACCGAACATTGTTTTTGCCTGGTATTCACTCCCTGTATTTACAGACTTATGGCATACGCATTAATGAATGAGTCGTAGGCACGCCATGTATTCTTATGTTAAGAATAGATGAGGCTAAATGCCATGATCTGGCACCTCATTGACACTGTACATGTTCTACGATAGTAGATACAAAATATATTCAAATATTCAGACGAAGCACAATTGCACATTGTGAAATTAATCTCTTTTTTGCCTGTGGCGTCACATGGTTTTAAACCCAGCAGGTTTCTGTATATGAGTGGATAGCGGAACATATCAGTGTTTCAGGGAGAACTGTGTTGATAGGACATTGCATGACTAAATACTGTTCAAAATGTTTGATAGTGTAAAAAAAACTAAAAACGATTAACTGCTGTGTAGTGTTTCTGAAAACTTCAATTTGGAATGAATTTGTTTTTAGTTTTTCTCCGTTATGCTTTCGGAGATGTAAACAGGAGGTTCAACAGGATTCACTCAAGTGGAAATCTCTGATGCTGAGACATGAAGCCAACGTGGGAGTGCCAAAAACTGCAGTTCCTCGAATGACCCCTTGAGGCCGGCTCCAAAAGTGAGTCAATCTCTATAGAGCCGCATGTAAAAATGCCCAAATTTACAGCAGAAATAAACATGTTTACAGTCTGGTACAAAAATGGTTTGGGCCTCTAGAGCAAATATTCACGGTAAAGACAATTATGGGCGATCAAATTGACATTTGCCCATTATGAGACAATGAGTTTCTTATTTACTGTAGCTAGCAGTAGTGACAGTGTTTTCTACAGGTCTGATGGTGCTGACTGAAACTCCACAAACAAGGATTAAACAGACTCCTGCAGCACAATCCACTGTCACACTGGATATGTTTTTGTATCTGATTGTGGGCAACACACCTATGAACTAATTATCTGCCTACTGCAGGTAAGAAACAATATTAAAGATGTTCTTAAATGTCCTAATACCAACACCCACAGCATAAATTCAGATTCATATGATCCACCCGGCATGCACCATTCAAAGTGATATTACATAATGCTTGTTTTATGTAGACCTATGTGCTCCGCAATTCAATTGGTTTATTAATGTCTTTTTGTGGAAATACACGACATATCATCCAAGCACAACATACATTGTGTTTTTGTTTCTTTAGAATGAGTCATTTATATCTAGATACAAAGCAGGTCATCTTTGTGGAGCCGTCCGCCACGTTACTCCAGTAGCACGGAGCCAACAGATGAAACACTGGCTCTAGATAGGGCCATTTGTGTTTTCACGTTGGCCCTCATAGTTCGCATACACACTTGGCACAGGGGAGAAGTGCACCAACAATTACCCAAATTACGTAACAAAACTGAGGTGAAATAAGTCACGGTTTCACACGGGAGTAGAACAGCCGTCTCCTTGGTGAATGTCCTCTGTTAATGTAGGAAATAACAGGGGCCCATTTTCTACCCTAATGATGAATCATATTGTACCATATAGCTGCATCAATGGCGGTATTAAAATCATCTGGTTAATTGGATATTCCTGAACAGGAATCACTCAAATCTCTGATTCCTTGTGCATGATGTGTGTTCTGGTTTGACTGACATATGATTCTGGCAAGGAGGGGTGAGATTTTTGAGGGAAATTGCATCACTTTGGTTCCTCTGCCGTGCCTTGCCAAGACC